TCTGGTCCCTCTTTTTGGATGTAATAACTAACTGGTCTCAGTATGGTTAGGCTTGTAAACTCATGCGGAACTGCGAAATTCTTTGCACGAGGTACTTTGGTCGCATCAGTTCACATTCCACTACAAAATAGACTAGGCCGAACTATGCCATCTATTCTTTACGGCTCCACTCTTCAAAATTGATATTTGAAAGGGCAGGGGCAGTGAAAGAATGGCGATAGTGGGTTGTGGTTAGTGGGGTCCCACCAGGTTTCGATAGTTCGACCAATCTGCTCGTAGGGGTAGATAATACTTCTGAAATCTTTCTACCGGGGTAGTTTGTAGTCAACTGAGTACGAGGATATCATAAACTTGGCGTGAAAATGCCTGGTACTTGCCCCTTAGCCCCCAAGGTGAAAGCTATCTGTGGCGCGAACGCAAACTATTTTCTTTTAACGCACTTCCCACTCCTCGGAAACGGCGAGAGCCGCATGTCTTTGGCATTTTTGAGGAAGGCGGCAGCTGCACTTTTAGCGGGACGTTGCTGTTTCGTAGAATCGTAGTCATATCCATGTCCACCACAGCACAGGATGACAAAGACGATATCCCCGGAGAACGCATCCTACGCGGGTGCTCAAATGAAGTACGCAACCATGCCCACTACTTTCCCGGAATATGGACTGCAAGCAGTTTTCGAGAGCAGCGGATCAAATTACCACCGGGACAATGTTTCAGTAAACGTTTCCTAGAAGAAAAATTCAGATCAAAATGTATCCTAGATTTCGCCCCTGTGTCCTGGGTTAATAGTAAGCAGTACCAATTATCAGTAGTATTTTATCTGTCGAGGGCATGCCATAGCATATTCTCAGAATTACTTTGCACAGTTTTTGTATTTTCGTTCTCTAGGAATAAAATTCTAGCGAGTATTTCTTGGTTTCCCTTGAAATACCACTTTATCAAAGAGCGAAAAGGGGCGTTTCGACTAGGCGGCGTGGCTGGGTGTTCTATTCAAATATGATATAAGTGGAATATTTTAATTTGTCTGTCACCCTGCCTTAGGCTTCTTTCTAGACCCTCACCACGTGACACGTTAAACTAAAGTACGCAGCCACGCCCACTCCGCCTACGGGATGTGGGACGTACCCGCGCTTTCATCTTCATCTCTTCATCTTCCATTTTGCCCGCGAATATAAATTTTGATTATCTTCAACGCTGTTTAGGTAAATATTAATCAAAATGCTTTCTCGGCCAGGACCCATCCGGTGAGTTATCACTAGTCAAAATATCATGACTTGTTTATCTCTCTCAATCCATATGCTGCTACCTATTTCAGCGCATGTGCTCAAATTCGCACCATTTGCTCCACGGTAGCCGCTTTCGCTGATAAACATGAACCCGATCTGAGTGACCCGAAGAAGATGGAACTTCATAAGCTGTATAGGCCGGAAAGGCTCACTCCCACTGAAAAAGGATATCAACTTCTCAACACTCCGCGATTATCCAAGGTTAGTTTTGCTCAGCCATGCCCCAGATAGGCACATCCTACCGAGGAAACTTCTTGCACAACACGACCCTTCCCCTCAAAATTTCGTCTTCGGTACGACGCTCCTCCTCCTCCCCCCCCCTCGCCCATCACGTTCCTGAATGTTCGCTACTTCCTGAATAATTTCCCGGGCTTTTCCAAAATCTCATCTAGTTTCCCCTCAAGAAGCTATTTGGCAAGGGGCGAAGAGTTGTAAGCTATAGCGCCCTTAGAACATTAGAAACCGAAAAAATTTGATTCTTGGACCCTGAGCGTGGTGAGCACTACCACTTATCACCATACCATCTCCCCTCGCGAGCATATATCATTGACAACTAATGTTGTCAGGGAAAAGGTGGTTATCACTTAGTTCCTGGATCGTTTTTTTGGTGAGGGTGGGATGATGTACATTGAGAATTTTTGATATGTGTATAGCCTTTTAAGGGTATGGCATTCACGCTAACCGAACGACAATATCTCGGGATTCATGGCCTTTTGCCGCCAGCCTTTATGACTCAGGAACAACAAGTATATCGCACAATGAAGAGGATCCGATCACAACCGGATAATTTGACGAAGTTAGTTGCACTTCTAATGCTACACCATGTTCTACCTTAGTTCAGCTGAGAAATTAAAAAAATTCTTCAGCTGGTAGAAATTTGTGCACTTTAAGAGCAGCTGCACAGCACTGTTTGCGTTTCGAAGTACCACAAAGAGGCTAATGAGGGGGCACGGAATCCACGGATCCTGCATAAATGCAATACAGCTTTTGAAGTTCAATGGTCTTGCGATCTATAGGGAACAATAATTTCAGGTATATTATCCTGGATGAACTGCAGTGTCGCAACGAAAAGCTGTTCTATCGAATTCTGAGTGAAAATGTCAAGGAATTGTTGCCTATTGTGTATACACCAACGGTCGGACTGGCATGCCAGAAATTCGGTTCTATTTACCGGCATCCAAAGTTAGTCCATTTTGTAATTTGTCCTGTTTTCCTGGCTGCATAGGCAGAGTACAGATGCACTTGGTGTTGATCAACATCCCTCCAGCAGGACCCCCCCCCCCTCCCCCGAACATCATCGTTACGCGAAATCTGTCAGAGGCTTGAACTTTGAGAACGCTTGGATGAGAGGTCGTATTTGGCCTCGAAAGAATTTCCCAGGTGTTCATCTTTGTCACCTCACCGATGCTATACGTACCCCCTCCCGGTTCTTGGGGAGGATGGAACCACTGATTCTGAAAACACATGGGGGTGTCTACCACCCACTCCATGTGGCGATTTGTGTGGCGGGAGTGTAGATGGCCGGTGTAGAAGGCGAGGTGAGAGAAGTGAAGTGAATGAAGTGAATTGTTTATTATGAACAACCGCCCCCTTTTATAGGGCAGACAAC